GAGTACTGGGAACTAAGGGTTCGAGGGCTAAAGGGGGGGGAGTCCTATTGGAGCGTAGGACGGGTTCTTCTAAGTCCGACGAGAGGGCTCGGTCAGCAACCTTGCCAGTGACTCTCGATGACGCCTGTGGGCGAGTGGTCAACCCCAGAGAGCCAGACCATAATGGCGGGCGCGAGGGGCCTACCAATGGCCGCTCGGTACATGGAGAATGCATCATTCCTTCTGGCTGTGTGTGGATCTAGATTTCAGCGAACTACAGGGGACGCAAGGGCCACTTTGAGCCTATATCGTCCCTGGCTTTGCCGAATTTCCTATCTGTAGCTAAACAGGACATCGGCGTAGATTAATTGGTTAGGGATTAGAACGGCATATAGTAAAAGGCACGCACTAATATTTGATTTATTAGATGGCTTAAAAATTCATTAGAGTTACACTCGGCAGTGGCGACGGACCGTGATAAGAAAATGTCGGCGGTTTGCTTTTCCATCTCTCCTCGAATTTACTATAAGCGAGTTCCGGGGGGTCACGAAGGATGTGTAATTAGGCCAGTGGCGCTTTGCGGGGGCTGCTTGCTTAATTAATTTGGTCCAGGATGCCTTCGGGTTTTCGAGATATAGTAACCTTAGCTTTCCAGTGATTGTGGCGTTCACTCGTTCTATCAATCCGTTAGTTTGCGGATTGTTACTGGTGGTAAGTAGTGGTTGTTTACTGCGAGATAGCAGAAATTTGCGGAATTTTTCGGAGGTGAATGCGGGCGCTCTATCCGAAAGTAGGCGTTTTGGAGACCCTTGTTGTAGTACATTTTTTTAGGGTTTGGATGTACGTTACGGTACTGATAGATCTCGATGGGAATGCCCAAGCGTATCTGGTCAAGTGATCCACTATAACATGGAGATACGTCTTGGAGTGTCCGTATTTCGAAAATCCGGATATTGTATCTATTGATATTAAATCGAATGGTTGTTGTTTTTCGAGGTTGTTGCGGACTTAGTAAAAATGTTATTCAGTGATATCAGGTTAGAAGTGAGTAAAAGTGCGACTTTCGACGTGGAGACGCTTTGAGGTGAGATGTGTCACATGCGTGAAGGCGTCTTTGGCCTGAAAAGTGAAAGAGTTTTGTGGTATGGCGCTGTGACACAAAGTTAAAAATTGCGAATGAAAAGGTGTCACGTGAAGTCGTTGTTTTGTACAAAAACTAACCTGTTTCACCATGAATAACAAATTTACTAAAGTCATGGGTGCTGTTTGAACGAACATATATCGAGAATATTTATATTGTTAGTGGATATGGCACGTTTAATGTGAAATATTTTTTAGTGTTTAATGTGGCGACGTTATGGAGCTTGTGTGGCTCGAAGTTGGATTTGAGTGTTAAGTCGCGCACTAAAAATTGTTGTCAATTGGAAAAAGTGATGTGAGAGGGTGTTGTTTTTTTTTGTTGTGAGTGATTTGTCGATGGTTAAATATGCATGTAAAAGAAGGTACGAGGGAGTGTAGCTATGTTGGATTTTAACGATTGGAATAGTTTTGGAAGGCTGTGACTTAGGTTACTTCTGTCCAAAGCTATGAAAGAAAAGAACACAGGGGCGTTGAAAATGGGATTAGGAACATTACAAGGAGACCAAAGAAGAGTGTTGGAGTTCGCCACGTTTGAGCAACCCGTTTCAGAAGGGGAGGATTTAGTAAATGGGACAGTTGTATTAACCTGTCCATGGGACACGCGTTGCTTGCACGAGGTGAATTTGTTTAATGTAGTTGGTAGAGGTACATTATCTTGATACAGGAGTAGCTGAGGACAGTTTATAATTAGTAGAAATATTTTTATGGAATTAAGGGATAAAATGCCAAAAGGCAAGGGTGTATCGATGATATGGCACTTCAAGTTTCGCGTTATATTACCTATTTTTACGTTTAAAAAGATATAACCTATGGCGAAAACATTGTTAGCTATGGCGTTAATAGTTAAAGGGGTTGATATTATATTTTGCAAACTGGTTTCTATTATTTTAAAAGTATTCCGCCTAATTATATCGATAGATGCTCCTGTATCAAGTAGTAGAGGTAGGTTTACATTATTGGACAGTTCAGCCCGAACGAGCAATTGTTCAACAAAAGTTATGTGAGGAGGAACCTACTGTTGTGTTGTCTTGTGGGTCGGGACAGGCTTGGTCTGTTACCGTGGTTGGAGGATCCTTGGGACAATTAAGAGTTCACTGCTTGCGCTGGGCTCGTGGTTTAGAGGTGGTCGGGGGAGCAGGTAACATACGCTCGCGTGTTGGTAACTCGGAGGGGTGCTTGCAGGAGGTTTGGTGGCTTTCTCCGTCTTGTAGAGTATTGTAGTTGGGCCCGATCTGCTTGGGCGTCGTAGTTGGTGAAGAAGCTCTGCGCCTCGTACGAACCATCGTAGCGCGGTAGCTCCACATCTCGCGATAGTCCGGTCGCCGCGAACAGCTGATGTAGCGTCATCGCCAACTTCCCCAGGACATCTGATACCACCGGCAGGGGCGTGGCGTCTTCCTGGCTGGGGGCAATTTCCTACGTCCTACCGAGAGTGTTTTCCATCTGTGGAAAAGTGGTGTTCTCGCCACTTTCGTAGTCGGAATCGGACTCCATGTGCTCCTTCGAATCCTCCTCGCTTCCCTGTTCCATCTTTCTGTACAGACAGTGGTCTCTTTGCTTACTTGTACCTTGGCGTCCACAATCCTGTCGGTTCTTCGGTCGGGGGAGTCTGTGATATCTTGGGACCTCTGGGACCAGTGTTACCTGATGCTAGACGAACCTCGATGTCAACTCTACCGTGCAGTCGTGGTGGAAGGCGACACAGCTGGGCCAAAGGTTAAATAAACAAACAGAGATTCCACTAAGAAGCGTCTGAACGTCAAGAAGGAATGGGACGAGGATATTTCAGGTAGAAAAGGGTTGATTTACCTCTATCGGGGCGTCTGGCGGACTGGGGCTGAAACAAAGACTAACTAAGGACTGACTAACTGAGGCTCGGGGCCTCCTTTTATAGCTTAGCTGGGTCCGAACAGGTAACTGCCCTTTTCTGACGTAAACAGGGGGGGGGGAGTTATATTATCCAGGAGGGCCACGAACTCGTAAAAATTGGACTGGGCTTGCTAGGCCTACTTTCCTATTCTCACCTAAGCCTGATTAGTTTAGCCTGTTAGTTTCCATTCCTTCTATCTGTACAGTTTCTATACTTTATTAGAGTCTTACGCGGTACAGAATGATATTATGTGATGCTTTATATTTGCAGTAAATAACAAGTTATATACAATTATGTGGTGGAACATGTGGTAGTGGATATCTGGATTATTTACAACAATTCTATGGTATTAAATCATCACACACACACATATATATATATAAGGTTTATAATATTTTTTCAAGGAAAGTTATCAAAAATTTCGATGTTGATTTAAGAGTATAAAGTCGAATTGAGAGTATAATGTCCGTATAGCAAGCTATTACTGAACGAATACGTAGAATTAAATATAATTTATATGAAAAGTAGTTGTTGTGTCTTTGCTCTTTTTCCTACTCAAATATCTTCAATTCTTCCTTTTTTTTTCTATGTTCTGCTTCAATGACGAGTAAAGTCCGATGTAATAAGCGTGAACTTGTTATAGCCCTATATTGTTACATAAAGAATTAAAACCTTTTTGATACCCTAATAATAATATTTAATAATTTGCTTTAATCATCATTAATTTACAACTACTTTTCATATAAATTATATTTAATTCTACTATATATATCTTATATAAAGAAAAAAGATAAAGAGATTTTCCTGCTTGTATTTTTGATCATCTTGACGATTATTGTAATGGTGATGCAGTCGTGGATATAATCTTGAAAAGTAAAATAATGAAAATAGTTTTGATATGAGATTGTTTTAATTGAGCTTTAGGATTATATAATAAACATAATTTGGTAAAAAGTAATGCCCGTCTTAAGGCGTAAGAATAAAAAAAAAAGAAAATATTATTTACATAATGTACAAAGGTTTTGAGTCGACCATTGGGGAACAACGACAATAGGTATTTATAGAGAAAGCGTGACCTCTGGCGGTCGATTTAAACAGAGTATTTGAATCGATGAAATATAACCTTAAATAAAATAACACCCTAATATAACATAATTCTAAATAAAATATTTTAAATAATATCTTTATATGACATATATATATAATATTTCGATGTTGATCCTGTGTAAGATCCTGTTGACTCCTGTCAACTTACTGTGGTGACTTGTGGTGAATTGTAGAGGTTGGTGATTGATGGCGCAGTCTTGGTCGAATGGTGGGTTTCCACAGGGGAAATAACGAGACAAAACCTGGTTGGGATAGAACCTGGACTTCGCGAAAAGGGAGAGAGTCGTGACTGGAGGATGTACCTTGCCTTTCACATGATCGAAGAGAATTTTACCTTGGTTGGATCCTGAGTTGAGCACACCTTGCTTCTAGCCCGGTTGCCTACCTTCTGCCTAACTTTCTGCCCGAGATAATCGTCATTAACTACCTCGGCTTCTCATTGGTTGAGATCGTTCTACGTGATTACTTCTGGTTGGCTATTAGTTGTTCATGCTTAACTGTGATTGGCTTAGCACCTCCATTGTCGCCATGATTGAAATCTTCCAGGAAGAAGGTCTTTGAACTTTAGTTTTATGGGGGGGGGGGGGGTCCTGGGCAGTGACCTTAACTTCCTGGATGATGCAATCCAGGTAATTGCTGTTCCCTCTTTCGCGAAGCCTAACTTTTATTTAAATCTTTTGACGATACATTGCATAGATTGCGGTGGGATTACATATTGCTATATTATATAATACACTGCGGCCTGTGATTGTAAAACGACACCTGAAGTTACACCGCATGAGTATCATTTCAACGGAATATCAAAATTTCATTTCAAGGTGAAATATCGTCCATTTCTATCCTTTTTGGATGAGGCATGAAAGGGTGAACCATGAAGAGTAATGATGAACGGAAAAATAAAAGTGTCCAGGGATGGGAATCGAACCCACAATCTTCCGCTTACCGGGCAGATGCCATGTCCACTAGGCTACCCTGGACGTATTTTTCCGTTCGTAAATGATACATAAAGTAACTTATAATACAATATAATACACTGCGGCCTGTGATTGTAAAACGACACCTGAAGTTACACCGCATGAGTATCATTTCAACGGAATATCAAAATTTCATTTCAAGGTGAAATATCGTCCATTTCTATCCTTTTTGGATGAGGCATGAAAGGGTGAACCATGAAGAGTAATGATGAACGGAAAAATAAAAGTGTCCAGGGATGGGAATCGAACCCACAATCTTCCGCTTACCGGGCAAATGCCATGTCCACTAGGCTACCCTGGACGTATTTTTCCGTTCGTAAATGATACATAAAGTAACTTATAATACAATATAATACACTGCGGCCTGTGATTGTAAAACGACACCTGAAGTTACACCGCATGAGTATCTTTTCAACGGAATATCAAAATTTTATTTCAAGGTGAAATATCGTCCATTTCTATCCTTTTTGGATGAGGCATGAAAGGGTGAACCATGAAGAGTAATGATGAACGGAAAAATAAAAGTGTCCAGGGATGGGAATCGAACCCACAATGTTCCGCTTACCGGGCAGATGCCATGTTCACTAGGCTAACCTGGACGTATTTTTCCGTTCGTAAATGATACATAAAGTAACTTATAATACAATATAATACACTGCGGCCTGTGATTGTAAAACGACACCTGAAGTTACACCGCATGAGTATCTTTTCAACGAAATATCAAAATTTTATTTCAAGGTGAAATATCGACCATTTCTAGTGGACATGGCATCTGCCCGGTAAGCGGAACATTGTGGGTTCGATTCCCATCCCTGGACACTTTTATTTTTCCGTTCATCATTACTCTTCTTGGTTCACCCTTTCATGCCTCATCCAAAAAGGATAGAAATGGTCGATATTTCACCTTGAAATAAAATTTTGATATTGCTATATACAAATTATCACACACACATATATATATATATATATAAACACGCAAAAAAACGGTCTTTATTCAGTTGAAAAAAAGGAGGCAATTACAATCGGCAGTTTTTACAATGAGAAAGCATCAAGATGTCGTCAATCTGTTTGTCGTAGTCTCTCCGTCCATCTCCTTGTCCTTCCACAGCGGAGGGGTTGTCTTCCCTCCCGGGGGGGTTGACACCGTTTTTCTATCTTGTTTTTTGTTTTCTCGTTGTTTGACGTTGTCTTCCCGATACCACCCGATCGGTCTCTTAAACATCGCAGGTACTTCATTTTCGCTTGCAGAGTCTTCTCTAAGTATAGCTAGTATTAATCTCATTCTTCCCACTTTGTCATTTATGGCTTTTCTCTGGTCAAAGTCAAGGTCATCGAATGTTTTGAACTTGATGTCTTCCCATTTCTTGAGGTGGCGGGAGATCTTGGTTTCCAGGTCGGGATATATTTCGAGCTGTTGTAGGACTTTGGTCTGTCTGGAGAGATCAGCTCTCCTGTAAATTGTTGCTATGATCTTATCTACTTCGGGATTGTCACCTTTTTCACATTCTTTCAACTCATTCTGGAGCTGGGAGGAGTCCATCGACCATTCTTCGCACCTGAGAGATGTTTCTTCTCTAAGAGAAAATGTCCCTGTGGAGATATCCGACTCAGAACACGAGTGGGTGGCTTTTCCTCCGCCTGGGGGGGTTGGTCTTGATTTTCTGTCAGGGCTTGTCGCGGGATGTGTCTTTTTCGAGGAAGTCCAGATTTCTCTCGCAGTGGGGACATCTCTCTCCGTTGGAGGCCGTTTCGGGGTTTGTGGCTGTGAAGTCGGATATAGGGCGTCAGCGAAGGATCTTGTTACTTTTTCCCTGATCTCGGGGTCGAATGGGCATCGCGTTCTTATGTGACCGTGCCGTCTGCAACCGGAACAGGTCACGTCTTCTCCTATAAATATTTTGAATGTTTGGTCCATATAATTAATGGAGATGACGGCGGGCATCGATGCATTTTCCTTGGTTTTAAAGACAACCTCCCTCCTTAGTGAGGAAAGATGCTTGAGGAGTGGATTTTCAGTGGGGAAGGGAATAGGCCTGATGCTAATCATGTGTCCGTATGGTTCGAGGGCCTTTTCAATGTCCTTATCCTGTATGAAGGACAGGACGCCGGAGAGAATGTACTTCTTGGAGGTTCTGAAAAGTGGCGAGGGATAGATTACCTCGTTTCCGACCTTGAACCCTTTTGTTAGGAGCGATTCAGCCAGCTCAAAATATATATATATATATATATATATATATATATAAGAAAAAAGTTGATAATTATTTTGTGTTTAAGTTAGATGAGATTAAAAAGTTGTTTATATGTATTATATTTATATAATTTCTTTTCCTCCAATTTACTCAGACTAATCTATTAGCTTGATTGTTTTATATAATGTTTCCTGTATATACCATCCATATTTCCAAAAAAAAATTATTTTATTTATTTATTTTTAAAATTCTTCTTATTTCTTTATTCTTTCATATAATCTGTATATATTTATCATATGTATATATTCTTTCACCATTTTTATCTCCACTTTCTCCGTTTTGTAACCCCAAGGAGAATCCTCTGTAAGACCTGTGTGTCTTAATAAAGGCTTTTGTGTGTGTGTGTGTGTATTATATTTATATCTTATTTAGGAGAGAAAAATGTAATAAAAGTAATTATATGTTAGAATAATATGTTTTTATTCTAGATAGAAAAAAAAAATTGAAAATAAAAAGAAAATTTAACAAGAAAAGAAGATTTAACAACGTAACGTCTTTTAGCATCGGCTTTTACCCGTAATTTAGACATACTCTTAAAATAAATAGGAATAAAGAAGAGATTTATAATGATTATATATTTATTTTTTAGTAAAAGAGAGGAAAGAGATAAAGAAAGAACCATACACTTTTATTTCAAACAGGTAGAGAATTGAAAGGGTGTTAGTATTTTTTTAGTTAATTAATAGTTTTTGTAATTTTTTATATACTTTTTTTTTCCTATATAATTTTAGATTTTTTTTTCCTAAGAGTAAGAATAATATGATATAATGTTTTTGCCTAGTTAAGGATAGATAAACATATTTTAAATCTTTGCTTATTAGAAATTATTTTTTGGAACCCTAATGGTAGACCAGGACATTACACAAAAGGAGATTGGAAAATCTATTGGAGAGAGAAATCTGTGGTACCAGGGCTCTTCAGATGAAAATACCACATCCCATTTCACCCTTACTTCATTATGGATTGATTTCTCTTCGACCATTAAACTGTATAATTAAATTAATATTAGATAACATAGAAGGAGGTTGTTTACTTACTTATTCAAAGTGGCGTCTGCCGCTCCCTAGAGACAGTGCACATGTGTGGATGTAACATCTGTCTGCCAGGGACCCGCCGACATTGTTCTAAAAGTAACCTTCCCTCTTCTAGGAAATCTTATTTTTAAAATTGTTTGAAGTTAGAAAAGCTGTCAGAAAAGAATCATTAGAAATTTTAAAGATTGTGAAAATATGTATTAAAATTTTGTTTCCATTGATATAAGTTACATTTTTATTAAAATTATAAATTAATTGAATAATAAAACATTTATTATGCTTCAAATTCATTTATATTTGTTTTCCAGTTCCCTCCCACAGTAACTGGAGATCAAATTGAATGAATTTAATGCTTTATAATCGTTATCATATAATTAATATATTTAAAGTCATAGGAAATATATTCAATAATTCTATCATTTGTTTTAGTATAAGAGTAGAATATAAGTTGTTGGTTAGATTAATTGGAGAAGTTTGAAGTTTCAAATTTATAATTATATTTATTATTGCTTAGGTATTTGTGTATTGACAGCCTATTGTAAAACTTTACTGTTTTGTATTTAAAACAATTGTTTAAATACTCTTTATTAAAATTTTTAATGTCTTTAATGAAGTTTGTTTTAATGTTGTTGATTCTATAAAATCTTAAAAATTGACCAAAATATATGCCTTTGCAGCAATTTGATGATATGTTGGAATTGACATTGCAGAATTTAATAATTTTAAAATTATAACAATTTCTTTTGTCATATGTTCCAATTGACTTGTTTGCAAGGTTTATATTTAAGTCTAAAAAGTTAACCTCCTTGTTATTAGTTATCTTTTCATTATTTTTAAGTTTCAAATATTTAGGGTATATTTTGTAAATGACATTATTGAATTGTGGGTTATTCAAGATAATGATGTCATCTACATAGCGGAACATATGCCAATTTACATCATTCTGTAGGAAGAACTCTCTTTCATACCAAAAAAGTAATAAGTTGGCTAGTAGAGGACTGGATGAAGTTCCCATTAGAACACCTTTAGATTGAATGTATATTTTGTTTTTAAAATTAATATAATTAAAGTTTAAGAAGGTTTCAAGTAATGTTTTTGCTGTTTTGTTATCTAATTTAAATGTTTTGTATTTGTTGTGAATAATTTGAATATGGAATGTTTTATCATTAATTAATTCATTTATTAAGCTGTGTATTTTATTATTAAGGTCTTCTAAACGTATGTTAGAGTAAAGATCTTCAAAATCAAATGTATGAATTGTATTGATCTTTTGTAGGTTATTTGTTAGGAAGTTAATGATTTTTTTATTAGAATCTATGAATTTATAATTATGTTTGTTAGTTATTTTATTTATTATGAATTGAAGTGTTGAAGCTAGTAACTAACTTCAACTACTTCAATTCATAATAAATAAAATAACTAACAAACATAATTATAAATTCATTAACTTAACATTAACATAAATTTATAAACTCCATTGAAGACATTAAAAATCTTAATAAAGAGTATTTAAACAATGGTTTTAAATACAAAACAGTAAAGTTTTACAATAGGCTGTCAATACACAAATACCTAAGCAATAATAAATATAATTATAAATTTGAAACTTCAAACTTCTCCAATTAATCTAACCAACAACTTATATTCTACTCTTATACTAAAACAAATGATAGAATTACTGAATATATTTCCTATGACTTTAAATATATTAATTATATGA